GAGGGGTGGGGAGGGTTCACATTCTCCATTTCAGGGGAGGCTCCTGCCTTCCTTAGCAGACTCCTGGCTTTCCAAACCACGGCAGCCTCTGCGCTCACCTGCGCACGCTGGCGATGGTCTCGCGGTTTTTGAAGCGGCTGAAGCGCGCTGTGTAGTTCAGGGTTTTCATGAACACCTCCGACAGCTCCTGCTCATCCTCCGCACTCTCGTTCTGCTGCTTGCGGTGCTCCAGCAGCATGTGCACCTCGGAATTCAGCAGGGTTTCCGCGGTTTCAAATTCTGCAGGGTGAATAAGGGAAAGCCAGCATGGAAAAACGTGCTTGAAAAGCGGAATTGCGTAAGTTTTGTGTGTAATTTAGATCTGGGTAACACAGAAGTGAAAATGTCTCTCATGGCAGTTGTGTGACTGTGGCAGTCCCAGTGACTGGGCGGCATTCCATACTGAAAATGCTGATAAAAATTACACTTTGAGTGGCAGTGTCTTTTTGACCATATATTTTACACTTGCAGCCCTAACATTCAGATTTTTTCATATTTGTGCAGTATGTTTTCTTCACCCAATTTTGGCAGAAGTAATGCATGACTTGCTACAGAAAGAAATATCTAGAGCTCTAAAACTCCACCAAATTCAGAAGTGATGCCACACTCTTTACTTCAAGAGCTTGAAGTAAATATGAATGCTATTGAATGTCTTTAAAAAGGCTTCATTTACTTGAAAAGTTAATTAACCTACTGAAATTTTATAATCAGAAAAAAAAATTTTACCCAATCTTAAAAATTCTTCCCCATCTTTAGCCAACTTTGAATTCATTCATCATCAGCATAAACACTGTATGTATTTCAATTACAAGAACATCTTTCAACATCACAGTATGAGCTGTTCATAGCAACAGGGTCAGAAGCTGCATCCCAGAGTGCCTGACATCACTGTTTTATACAAGCATATACAAGGACTGTTAGAAAGGGCCTGGCAACTCTTATTTTTAATTGAGCAGTAAATCAGGTTGGGCTAAACATGAGATTTTAGCATTAAAAAAACCTGAAAAAATAGATTTTAGAACTTCCCTACTGTTCATAACAAAACAATGCAGCAAATGCAGCATGGTGTCCATTTCCCTCTCCCCCCTCCCTTTTTTTTCAGGGTGGCTGAGAGGGGTAAATACATTTCTAGAATTTATACCGAATTAATTGTCTGAAAAAAGAAATATACAGACAATAAGCGTCCATAGTTACCAACTCTGGATCTGCAGCAGTATTCACAGATTTCCAAAACCGCTTAGGTTGGAAGGGATCTTAAAGCCCATCCAGTGCCACCCCTGCCATGGCAGGGACACCTCCCACTGTCCCAGGTTGCTCCAAGCCCTGTCCAGCCTGGCCGTGGGCACTGCCAGGGATGCAGGGGCAGCCACAGCTGCTCTGGGCACCCTGTGCCAGGGCCTCACCACCTTCCCTCAGAGGGAAGAACTCCTGTATCAACAAACATCACTGAAAAAGCTTATATAAAAAAACAATAACCTTTTTACTATAACCTGACAGGACTTTTTTTTTTTTTAAATACCCGACACACACGTAGCGGCTCACCTAAGAACCACCACATCCTAAAAATCATGAGATCCTTAAATATACACAAATCATTTACTATGCTGATTTTTAACATTCGGGGCTTAGGAGCTGCTGGAGGGGCGTTGAGCAGCGCTCCGGTGCAAGGAGCCGCTCGGCGAAGCTCGCACCCTCACGGGCAGCCGCTGCCGGCCTCCAACCACCACCCGACCCCCGAGCCCGGGCTCCTCGCCGCCCCCGCTCGCACCTTTGGGGAAGACGAGCTGCGAGGCGTCCTCCTCCACATCTGCCGTCCGCGGGTCGCTGCCGCCCGCCGCCATCACCGGAAAGCTACGGCGGAAAGGGCGGCTCTCGGGGCGGGGCAGGGAACGGCACAGCCCCGGTGAGGGCTGAGGGCAGTGCCCGGGTGAGGGGCAGGAATGTCTCTGCCCGAGTGAGGGCGGAGGGCCCTGCCCCGAGTGAGAGACGGGAACGGCACTGCCCGGATGAGGGCTGAGGGCACTGCCCGGGTGAAGGCACTTCCCTGGTGAGGGGCGGGAATGGCTCTGCCCGAGTGAGGGCTGAGGGCTCTGCCCCGGGTGAGGGCACTGCTCCGGTGAGGGGCACGAACGGCTCTGCCCTGGTGAGGGGCGGGAATGTCTGTGCCTGGGTGCGGGCTGAGGGCTCTGCCCCGAGTGAGGGGCAGAAACGACTCTGCCCAGCTCAGGGCTTTGCCCCGGATGAGGCGCTGAAGGCTCTGCCCGCGTAAGGGCTCTGCCCCGGGTGAGGCGCTGAGGGCTCTGCCCGGCTGAGGGCAGGAACGGCTCTGCCCCGGTTGAGGGCTCTGCCCCGGGTGAGGCGCTCAGGGCTCTGCCCACCATGAGGGCTGAGGGCGCGGCTCCCTCTCCCTCTCTCTGAAGGGCAAAGGGCCGGTTCTACCCTGGGCGCTGCTGAGGATAAAAGAGCTCGGTTGCCGCTGTGGGGCACTGAGGGGAAACAGCGGGAGCAGGAAGGCTGAGTGCTCTCTCAACAGAGCAGCTCAGGAGTGTGTTTGAGCTCGCTTAGTAATTAACTGCTTTTAGAGAGGGAAAGCAGCGGGATGCTGAATGTGTTACGTATGAACAGAGGGCAAATAGCTGTGACAGACCAAGACTCTGCAGGTCCCTAACAGGAGGGTGTAGCCCGGTGGGGGTTGGCCTCTTCTCACAAGCGACAGGAGGAGAGGACACGGCATTAAGATTGGCCAGGGGAGGCTTAGATTGAACATCACAAAGAATTTCTTCATTGAAAGGGTGGTTGGACATTGGAGTGGGCTGCCCAGGGAGGTGCTGGGGTCACCGTCCCTGCAGGTGTTTAAGGAAAGATTGGAGGTGGCCCTCAGCGCCATGGTCTGGTTGACATGGTGGTTTTCACTCAAAGGTTGGACTTGATGATCTCAGAGGTCTTTTCCAAAAGAATCAATTCTGTGATCATGAACCCAAAGTCTTACAAGGCACGAATCAGGGCCTGAGAGCAGGAGTGTGGGGACTGAGAGAAACAGCACTCGTCCTTTGCATGAGCATATTCTTCTTCTGGTCTCTCCTTAGGAAATTACCAAAGAGTTCAAAGCTGCACTGGTGCCCTTCACCAGACTGCACAGCAGCATCCATCTGCCCAGGAGCACCTGAGGACACCGAGGCACCAGGAGCACCTTCATTCACAGCAGTGGATCACGCAGCTCCATTTCACTACCAGAACATCCTCCAGCTGGACAGCAAACCCCTACCCTTAGGAAAACCTTGATTGTGCCAGAATTTCTGTCTAGCTCACTGTGATTAATAGACCTTGGACTGTAAGGAGGGAGTATGGATATCATAAATATCACACTTCATAAGGAAGGTTAATTTTCAGACTATCCAGAAGCAATCTAGAAGTTGTAGGCAGGCTGAAAATTAAGATAATTCTCCCAACAGTGCCAGCAAAATAACTTATGGAGCAATGTTTTCCCTAGGGAGCTCACATGTAAGTGCCTAACCTAAGACTCTTAAAGTAATCATCTTATCAGCCCTTACTATGTCATCCTGTGCCCTAAAGAAAGACAAAAATAGACTGTTGAAGGATTTATGATGAAAACACTCCTGTTCTCATAAACTTGTATCTGAGCCTAGGTGAATGGTTTCCTGCATGCTGGGAAAAGGAATGAATTAAAAATAAATTAGAAGAATATGAAGAGATCAAATAATAGATTTTTAATATTTGTTATCTGGATAATGAGCATAGCAGAGAAACTGATTGGAAAGTAATTTGCTAAGTGATACAAGCAGAAAGACATTCAGGAAGATGGAATGGAAATATCTTGGGGAACATCTGGCAAATTAAACAATTTCAATTAGGCTTACGAGAAAAGAAGGAAATCCATGCCAGATTGAGGAGAGAAGCATTTAAAATCAGCTGGAATCCTGATGGCATCTCAAATAACCTGTCAGCTCAGAGCATTGTGATTCTCAGAGCAGTAGGTAGCTCACAGAAGTTTAGGTTGCTAATTTCCCTTTTTGTTTTTCCCCAAGGATCCATTCTACTTAAGTATACAAACCCAAGATTTTACAGGTACAGTTAAAGAGGCTATCATGAAAGATTAAGTTTATTATCACTGATGTGTTTGGTTAAGGTCTAAAGAGCAAAATAAAAATGTTCCTGAATGGAAGCTGCTTCCCCCCAATTTTTTTTCTTTGTAAAAGAATTTTAAAAATAAACTTAGAAACCCCATAGAAAATATTGCTCAGCTGTTGCAACAAACCAAACATAGCACAGTACCTGGCCTTTTATTTTTAAAATGCACTGGCTTCTTCATCACTAATAATGACTATTTTGGCATTTATCAACAAAATATGCATAGAAAAGTGAGGTGAGCTTGACTGAAATAGTCACTGAGTAAAGAAACTTTCAGGCAGTTTTACTGGTGACATCCTAAAATAAACCTATTGAATAAAAGAATACTTGGCTGAACATAATTAATCATGAACAAAGTCTCTAATATTCCACATTCCAGGGCAGAAAGCTTTGATCCTTGCTGGAGACAGGGTATTGAGGAGCAGATCGTTGGACAGACCTATCAACCAGTCTAAACACAGACCCTGGAACAACTCATTGCACCTACACAGACCTCACAAAATGCTCAGCTAAACATCTCCCTGTCATCAAATGTAGGAATAACTAACAACAAGGATATCCTGTTACCAGCATACACCTATTTTGTAATGTGCTTTCCTTCTAATTCATCAGCAGAAGCAATGTGACTTTTCTAGGAGTTTTTTAAGCTTTCCAGCAGTGATGATGTATTTTCTGTGGAGTGCCAGGGTGACAGGAGTAGGTCCTTGTGGAGATACCCACCCCTGAGAGCACCGTGTGCCACAGCAGCCAGCATTGCACAGCCAGGTGGGATTTTCACCTTTGCACCTAAAGTACAACTCTTCAGGTTTAGGCCTTCACACCATTTTACCTTTGTTTTTATTCCATCTAAAATTATATATCCAAAACCATAATGAATGAACATCTATGAGCAAAGTAAAGTTAGATTAATATCCAGTAATAAAGTCATAGTAAGGCTCTGAATGCAGAACTACATGATCTGTTAAGTTTTTAAATACATATATGATATTATCAACTGGTTGTATAATACATAATTGATGCCAGAATTAATCTAAGAGCAGTCTAGCTGACCATAGATAAGATATGGTTCAATAATTTCAACAGTGTTCAATTTGTAGAATTATATACTTTACAGAACATGGAACAATACTCTTCTGTGCTTGCTGTGTTTTGAGAGTGATCATCAAACACATTCACAGACTGTGGCAAAACCATCTCAGGACCTTTCCTATCCCACTGCTCCATGTGCTATCAGTGTATTATGTTATTTATTGGGTTGTATAGCTAAGTGTTCTGTTTTTCATTTTTATCTTCAAGACAAAAATGGCATTTCTCCATCACAGAGAAATTTCTTTTTCGTGTTTAAAACAAATTCTAGTACTCTTCCTTTGAAGTATCCTCTAGAAGTTTCTGCTAATCTTTCTGTAATTTTTTTGGTGCTAAACGACTAATTCAATTTGTTTCTTATTTCAAACAGAAGCAACACCAGAAGAAACTGTTTCCAGGAGAATTATCCTGGTTTATATTTAGCCTGGATTGACCTATTTCAGTGTGCAGTCACATGCACACCCTCTACCTGGTCTCATCCTCCCTGGGAGCTGCTCAGTGTTCCTGTGGTCACAGAATGCAATTTGCATGCAAGAACCTCTGATGAAAGACAGCAGGCAGAGATTTTATGTCTGATTCAATAGGAAACAAAAAAATTAAGTAGGAAAAGCATATGACAATAAAATGCACAAATTAAGCCACTGTATTCCTGCCAACAAAGCTGAGAGAACACACTTGGTAATTCCCAGGGATGGTAGGGATGTGGGTAACTCAGAATTCACAGAGAAATGCAGCTGGAATTCACCTGGAAATCACATTAGTCACAGCACCCAGCTCACACTGCCTAAGGGATTGGCTTTTTAGCCTTCCTAGTGCCAGCACCTGAAAACAGGTTTTTGCTTTGTAGCTGTTCTGTGATATCTGAGCTTCTCAGGCATATTTAAATCAAAACTACCCTCCCCCTTGGTTTGGTTGGTGCTTTTTTAGGGTTTTATGACTGTTCATTGACATCCAGGACTGCCTTTCCCATGAGCCAAAAGCAGAAAATGGAGCATCTCTAACTACAGAGCTCCCATAGATAAAAAGTTAACAATTATCTGAAAATGTATGGAAAAAACATGTAAGAGATCCAATTCAAATTGTAGAATTGTAGAAATATAATTCTGTCTCTAAGCAAACATTAAAATAGTAAGAATCTAGAAAGAAGGGTGTTTTATTCCTCTGAAATAGGGTTTTTAGATCACCTGAAGACTATAGCCCTAAAGTGTAGACAATCTGTTCTCAGTTCATTTTAGAAGACAAAAGCCCAAAAGAACAATTTTTCAGAAAGATTTACAGTACTCTGTAAATATGTACTTTATACATTTCACCATCATGACAACTGATAGAAAGTTATCATCAAGCAAACGTTATTTCAGGATACAAAGACACTGCTATGCTGTTATGAACAAAATATATTTAATATTTGTTTTCAAATTTCCTACTATTTTCCCTTGCTTTCTTGTGGTGAGCCTGTTTGATCACTGGTGTGTTTCCAGACAGCTGTCACCCCACTCTGGCAACCTCCCTGGTTTTGAATCTGTGGTGCAATTTACAGGTTTGCTATTCATGCCTGTAATATATTACCTGTCTCTGCAGATGAGAACAATTTCATCTTACCCCCATAAAGGCTGTGGGAACTCATATAAAGAGGACAGTACAAATAATCTTTATCCATTATGATTTATTCTCTACAATACTTCATTAGAGGATAGAGTTCAATTATTTACACTCAGAAATTATTATATAGGTAGGAGGCAACCAAGTGTAATATAAAGAATTGGTCTGACGTCTCTGCACTGTAGGTCAAAAGAGGTCTCCTGCTTTAAGGAAATAAATTAACCAACAAAAACCCCCAACAAAACAACATGTAGTTTCTGAATACAAACAGAAAACAGCACTAATAGTCAGTGAAGACTGCAGAGGTTTGTTAATGTACTATGAAAACAAATTATTCTGTGCAAAGGTTAAAATGAACTCTTAGATTTCCTTACAGATTTTTTTTTGTTCTGATAAATTGTAGATATGTGATATTTTGACCATATAACATTCCCAAACCGAAATGGCTTCAGTTGAGATTGACTGTTGAACAACATGAAAAAAAAAAATTAAGAACCTCACAGTGGAAACATTTCAACACTGACAGACTCCAGTGATCAAAGACATTCTCCTGTAGTTACCATAAAACAAAGACATTTCATCATTGCAGTGAGATTATTCATCAGTTGTGGTTGTCATGAGAATAAGCCCTTCTAGACCAAAAGGCACTTGCTTCTAAGGATGAGTTAATCCAGATCAAACCAGGTATCAGTTGCTTTGAGGAGTGGTTCTAACCAGCTGTCCCAGCCAAGCAAACACAGAGAAAATCTCACATCAATTGGCCACTGATTTTGGTTGTCTCCATCCTGAGGCAATTCCAACTGCAGTTTGTGCCCACTTCACCTCTTTCATCCTTATGCATAGCTGCCATGTAATGATCTAGAAACGGGATTATTTCCTGAGACCACCTGTCCTTGTCATACATTTCTCTGAGCTGACTTAGCTACTGACATAGTTTTCAAATTATTTTATAGCTGGACCCTTATGGGACTAAAGCTGAGAGGGCCTGTTCCTTAGGCAGCAGACCAGTGTTTCTGATCTGCCAGCTTCTCTTCTCACTGCAACAAGACAAGAACACAGTACATATTTAGAGGCATTTATGTTTTGTTTGTGTTTTTTTAAACAGACTGAGTGGGGAAATAGAAGTGGGAGAGGACAAGACTTCCCCAGTCCCAAACCACCTATCCCACTTCAGGCTTAAACCAACCAAGTTACTCAATCCTAAAATTCTGTTCTTTAAAAAAATGACAACTAACCCTCCCCACCCCACCCTTTAGTCATCCCCTAGTCAAAGAAACTGAAATCAGGAAAACACTATACACTGTTGAAGACACAGAACAGGGCAAACACCTGAAAAAGAAACAGTATAGTTGAAAAGCCTGGCACTGTATGCCTGCATGACCAGTCTCACCGAGCGTGCTCAGGGGTGAAGTTTTAGCACCATTTTTTTGCCTTTTTTTAAACCTTTTAGAAATTAAATTCTAACATAGAACACTTGAACAGTAATGAGTGTAGCCCTATGTATCATACTGTTTGACAGCTGAAAGGTGAGTGGTATGCCTGGAGCTGACCCCACCCTCCCCCATCACTACACGGCACCTGGGGGAGCAACTACAAACTGGAGTGGTTTGGAACCAGACTCATTTATTCTCAGCAGCAGGAAGTCACAAAACAATCCTTTCATCTTCCATTCTTTCCAACAACATCACAAGGGAAAAGTGGCAATTTGTAGGAATGACCCCAATGCAGAAGGAAAGCTGG